AATCAGATCGTGACCCCGATTATGACACCGGCTCCTGGCTGCGAAACGCTAGACAAAAAACAGCCAAATGTGAAAAAAAATAATTGTCACGTTGTACCAAAGAGTTTAGACCAGGGGTTCTCAACCTGTGGGTCGCGACACGCGTGACCATTCTTGAGGGTCGCGAGATCATTGAAGATTTTGTGCTTAAATGACCCTCTGAAAACTAAAACATTGCTCAATAAAGGTGGCACAGTTGAATGTCTGGTGTTAGGTGAGGCTAGTGCAAAGAAATTGCAGCAAGTTCCCCTTTCAAATGATGCTGTCAAGAGGTGTATTGCACGCATGCCCTCAAACATCAAGGAACAGGTTGTAGAGGAGATCAAAGCTGCCCCTATGTTCTCGTTCCAGCTTGATGAATCAGTTGATGTGGCATCGTGCTCACAGTTACTGGTCTTTGCGAGATACGTGTTTGAAAAAAGATGAGAAAGAAGAATTTTTATTTCGCACCCCACTGGACACCACAACAACAGCTGATGATGTCATGAACAAGTTATCCTCACTTTTTTTTAAAACGAGGGTCTTGAGTGGGAGAATGTGTGTGGTATTTGTACTGATGGTGCCCCAGCCATGATAAGATCTAAATCGGGCTTTCAGACAAAAATGCAAGACAAAGCACCACACGCAAAAGGCATTTACTGCATGATACATAGATATGCACTAGCTTGCAAAACTTTTAATCCACTTTGAAGGAAACGTTGGAATCTATTGTCAAGGTTGTCAACTATGTGAAACGCAGCTCCCCAAATACACGACTCTTCAAGGAAGTCTATTCTGACACGAGTGCAGATCATGAAACACTGCTTTTCTACACTCAAGTTCAATGGTTATTGAAAGGAAACGTTGTATGTCGGGTCTTCGAGCAGAGAGAGGAGATCAAGCTCTTCCTTGAAGTGCAGGAAAAAGATGAGCTCAGCAGGCACTTCTCAAATGATTTGTTGATCCAAAGACTTGCCTATATTATATGTCTGATATGTTTGACTACCTCAACATTCTCAACTTGAAACTTCAAGGTCAACAGGCACACTTTGTACAGTTTTAAGGTGTTCTGAGTGGCTTTCTTTCCAAAGTTCAGAATTGGCACCGGAAAGTTACAGAGGGAAACATTGCTATATTTACCAACCTTTCACAGCTGTTAAATCCAGAGGAGACCTTGTCTGCTGATCTTCAAGTTGATATAGTGATATAGCTGCACATTTGAAATCATTTGAAGATGAGTTCAAGAACTATTTCCTGACCTTAACTGTGATGAAGAAGCTTTTGTGATAAACCCTTTCACTCCTGGACTAGACATCACTGTCATTGCAGATGACATTCAAGACAAGCTTTTGGAATTGAGACATGATTCATCAGCACGCGACACGTTTCTTGAGAAATCTCTTGAACAGTTTTGACATTCACTCCAGGAATCATATACCCTAATGTCAGCAAAACAGCACTTCGAGTCTTTGTCCCATTTGCCTCGACTTACCTTTGAGAAAGTGGATTTTCTACCCTTGTCCAACTCTAGACAAAAGCAAGGAACAAGCTGGATGTTGCTGATGATATGCTCCTTGCTTTATCCAAGACTTCCCCGAGAATTTCAAGACTGGTCGCTGAACTACAGGCACAGCCCTCTCAATAGTTTATGTATTTTCTTTAAATCCGTGTGTGTGTATGCGCGCGTGCGTGTGTGTGTGTGTGTGTGTGTGTGTGTGTGTGTGTGTGTGTGTGTGTGTGTGTGTGTTCTCTCCTTTTTCTCGATTTGTATTTGCTTGAAATAAGAGTGATTTGAAACATCAAAGGCACATTATTGGTCTGTATTAACTATGAAACGTAGGCCTTATTAATTGTCTGCTGCTGGATTATACGCATTTGGGAGGGGGGGGTGATTAAAAGGGTTTGTTTATTTCTTTATTTCGGGGTTGGGGTAGGAGGGGTCGTTCCACTTGCCAAACAATCAAAAGGGGGTCGCGGATTGAAAAAGGTTGAGAACCACTGGTTTAGACACATTGGTGTTACACGTAGAACTGACATCTCTGCTTCTTTGCTTTGTGTTTGTGTATTCACATCTAAAGATACTTTTAATATTTGTTGGAATAAATATTTAATGAGATACTTTCCCCAATTATTTTAGCGGTTTAACATGCATACAACATGAATTAAGGATTTGTTTTCATTCACAACTCAGTGTTGCCGCCTCCAGTAAGATTCTTGTGTGATATCTATTGGCCCTATCTGGTCCCGTCTCACTTTGATTATCTTGCCAAACAAGTCAGCCTTCGCACCTGATCAATTTGTTGACATTATACTCGGGG